TTCTTGAACTTAATTGTTCAATGTGTGATTGCATGTAGACAGCCACAGCCGCTGTCACCCTGTCATTAATTTGAATAGGTACAGCGGCCACATCTGTATGGGCCCACTGGGATTTTTGCTGCAAGGTTCTTTCCACAGGAATCCCCAGATGCCTGTGTGCATGAAGCCTAACAATGACACAATTGTGCAGGTAACTCTAAAGATTAGAGAACATGTGCTTTCCCTGGCACTTCTACAGTTTGGATATCTGTACACCCTCTGAGCTGCACTAACTTCAAAAGCCATCAGCAGCCGCCAAAGCACTTCCAATGCATTCATCTCACTGATTAATTGGGGTTACTGAACAACACAAAGCATTTGTGTACCCACACTGACGTGCGACATGCCCTGTTGTGTGCTTTTTCTTTCACCTTTGGTGAATATAGATTATCTCTTGCAATCATTCTTAGAAAAACAGAAGGTATTCACATGTCTCATTCCATTTATATCCCAAAAATAAGAGAATAATTCCTAATTTTAAGACACTGGGTGGAGTCATGCGGAGTCATGCAAATCATTGATTTTCTGTTAGAAGTCATGGTTTCCATGCACTGCACCGATGATGGTCAAATAGCTTGAAACAGCTGTATGCAGTTTGGAGTAAATGGCTCTCATATATTAGGGTATATTTGCACTATACACCTGCGGTTCTGGATGTACATCAGGTTATAGGGTGAAAAGCAATGATCTGCCTGACTCCCACTGTCCTAAAATGAGGAATAATCCTGTTATTTTTGGGCTATGTGATAGAAGGTAACATGTGAATACATTTTGTTTTAGGAAGGCTCTGCTGTGCTACACACTGATTAGAGTGAGGGCTTTTTGATTGATTTAATCCCCTCTCACCATAGCCTGTATGGTTAAAAATTCTTATTGTAATAATTTTATGGCAGGGAATGTATTTAGCCTGTGGCTACAGGGGCGCAGAATGGAGGCCCAGGGGGGTTTAGTGATATCCATATGAGGAGCTATGTGATCAAGAGGACCTTACTTCTACAGCTGATCTTCTAGATACATGCTGCACCAACCCCTCCTCCATATAGTAACCCAGCATATACAAAAGGAACTAGGCTGGGCACCGAAATGCATACGCATGCCAGCTTCAGCACTTCCAGCTATGGATGGCAATGTATGCAGCTCAAGAAAGGAACTATGTGGATTTCTACCATAAAAATCTGTCCCCACCGTTACAAACAGACTGAAGGGGGATATGTACAGTCCCTTGCATCCTGTGAGTGACCTGTAAGGCCCCTTTCACACGGGCTGATCAGAAGATCCTGATCACAGCAGTACGGAGCGAATGTCACCACTGTGGCATCCGTGTCCATACAGTTTTGATGGAGGAAAAACTGCAATTACCGAACCCAATGCTTGTCTATGGGGAATCGGATGTAAAGGGACAAGTGTTCGTTTACATTAGATTACCCCCCAGGTCTGGCACGATCAGATCCGGTGAAACAGGTCTCTGATCAGTTTCTTGTTCTGGACCTGGCCGGAGTCGGAGGTAACCGGGTGTAAATGGATTCCAATCCATTTACACACAACTGCTCATAGACTTTCACTGGGCATTCGATTGGGTCCGCCTGAAACACTGACAGGTGGACCCGATCGCACTGCTAGTGTGAAAGGGGCCTAAGATCTTGGCCACTCCTGATCGATGGATACTTTAGCCTACAGCGCATTTTATAAATCACAACAGCTGAAGCTGCTGAACAAGGTCTTGATGGGGGGTACATTTGTCACAGTTTTGTATTAGCTGTCTATAATTAGAGATTTCAAGCCCAAATCTTACCAATTTAAACCCTCTCCAGGAGATCTGTTTTATTACAGATGAGATTATATATCAAACCTTTATCTCCTGAATAAAACCTGCTGGAAAAGGAAGTTCAAAATTAAATAAAGGAAAGACTGCTATGGACAGTAAAACCAGACCTCACATCGGGACAAGAATACCACAGTTCCTTCAAAAATCCTTTTTGCAAATAAAATTGCACAAAAATAATTTAACAAAAAAAAAAAACTTGCTGTAAAAGGACGACTAATAACTTACAATACAAAGCATCTTGTGCTACATCCATCTCCAGTGCCAGGCTTTGATTAAAAAAAAATTGATCTACCACCTAACACTTAAAATTAACCCCTTAACCTAGCCCTATAAAATTAAACTTAATCTGCGCCCCAACACACTACCATTTTGACCCAATTCTTATAATGAACCCAGTAACCACCAACACAACCCTTATAATTATTTCCTACTACATAACCTAGGGTTTGATTGGAAAAATAATTGAGTTCAGGAAAAATTTGGGGGCTCTCAAATGTTCTTTTTTTCCTGTAACACTTCAAATGAACCCCTTAATCTAACCCTAATAATTACATTTTAATCTGAACCCTAACACTAACCATTTAACCTGGCCCTTAAAATGAACCCTCTATCCTAATCATTACAGTACTACAAATGAACTCTACCCCTCTCAATAACCTTCACCTTGGTCAGTTGCGCAAAGGAAGTTATCTGTTCCACACTACAACTCTTAGCTTCAACTCTTGTATCCTAAAAACATTTACATATTTACCATATTGATATAAATTGTCTTAATTTTTGTGTTTAATATTGAACTGTAGTAAAATCAAAACATTCCTACCTGTATTTGGCAATTACCACTATTAAAATAACACATGGCAGCTAATTTAGATCATCAACACATGGCAGCTAATTTAGATCATCAAAAGTATTCAAAGCTTATGTCCATTCTATGGCTGACACAATAAATCACCTGTTATCTGTTCATTCAAGGAAATATGGCATTACTTTGGTTTACATGTGCATGCCAAAATGAGCAAGCCAAAACACAGGTAGGAGAAGAACCTCCCTCCAGTGCTCCTTTGTAGGAGGGGAGTGTGGGGTGTAGCTGGGGCCATGGATCATCCGCTCTTATGGGTTACACTCTGTGGGGCTAAGTTGTTAGTTTGACAGCCTGGTCTTTCCCTGTATCAGGAGTGTTCTGACAGCAGCTCCTGTAACAATGAGTCCTGCAAGCAGTGGTTGCAAGCTTCATTCATAAATACATTTTAGCAATATCGGTAAAATGCACTTTTGATATTGTTTATGTGCAAGTCATTACTTTGACATCTTCGTCTTAGATGTCAGCAATTGTGTAGAGATGTCACCAGCACACCAAAATCCTTTTTAGGATAACAAAATGTTCATTTATTGAAGTTCCATGTCATATAAACAAGTGCTTTCGGGGTCACACAGGGTCCCTTCATCAGGCTTAGCATTGACAATATAAAATGTTCACACCACACTATAAATAGACAGACTAGTGCATAAAACAATCAGAACACCCTCTGGCATCATAATGACATCATAATCCTGCCAAAAACATTGTATACATCAATACAAATATTGACCATCACATACAGTAGGAGAGGTGTAAGTATGAGATGTATACCTTATATTAACTGCTGAATAGTGGACACATCATCACCATAAGATGAATAAATATGTTACTTACATTATGGAAGAAGAACATAATGTAAGTAACATATACTGTATATTCATCTTATGGTGATGTTTTATGCACTAGCCCAGTGATGGCAAACCTTGGCACTCCAGCTGTTTTGGAACTACAAGTCCCATGAGGCATTGCAAGGCTCTGACAGCCACAGACATAACTCCCATATGCAGATGCATCTTGGGATTTGTAGTTTTGGCACAGCTGGAGTGCCAAGGTTCGCCACCGCTGCACTAGCCTGTCTATTTATAGTGTGGTGTAAACATTTTATATTGTCAATGCTAAGCCTGATGAAGGGACCCTGTGTGGCCCCGAAAGCGCTTGTTTATATGACAAGGAATTTCAATAAATGTACATTTTGTTATCCTAAGAAGGATTTTGGTGTGCTGGTGACATCTCTACACAATTGCTGATATTTGCAGCGCCATCCTCAGTCACTGCAAGCACCCCCATACTTTTCGGTAAGGAGTGCGACAAGGAAAAGTATTTATTGTTAGATGTCAGACTGTCCCTTCCGGGAAACATGGTATAATCAAAACACAAACATCTGCTACAATCCAATTATGTTTTAATAAAGGAAGAATTAGGTACACTGCCATAGTATGTGAGTTTTTGCACTGCTGGATGAAGACACAATCAGAAACATTTGAAATTTCAGCAAAAGAGCTGTAAATAGCTACTGACTGATAGTCTACCATGACATTCACATGTGCTGTATTTTATGCTATTTTTTTCATCAGTTTGTTTAATTCCAAAAGTAATTTGCAGACACATGCCATGTTTAAGTCTGTGCCCTGCAGAGGTTGTGTTAACTTCTTCTCACTTAGTAAATCAATACGTAATGTGCCCAAAATTTTACAAACGACTGTATATTCTACATTCTTATTTCACAGGTTTGTATTCCGTTTTTTATCTTAAATAATGTATACAACGATTTATTGAATAAATGTACTTCTAAGATTTTTATACACGAGGTCTGGACTTGTTTCTTAAAAGCCCCCTTTTTTTCTTTTCCCCTCTGGGTCCTCGCACACCCCACTGTGGAAATACCCTTTTTTTTCTTGCATTATTTCACAGGTTTACTGATTCTCAGTCCGTAAAAACATATGCCTCGTCTTTTTAAACTCAAGGCACATTTTCCTATACAATTAACATAAAGACGTATTAGGACAAAAATACTTGTAATAAAGATCTATACGGCTTAAAGCTCCAATTTACAACCCTGGAGACCAGACGAAGCACACTATTGGACTTGTTAAATAAAGCCGCCTAAGGAGCAACGGCAATGTGCAAAGTGCAGTCACCCAGAAAAATCAATTAGTTCTCACTTCACCGATCAATAAATGCTGATTGGTTGCTACAGGTTACCGCGCTGCATTGCCATTTTGCTTTATTAAAATGGCCCAACTGTTGTGAAAGAATGGCATCTAGCACTGTTCTTACCGTGTATCCTGGAGCGCAGAGGCACCTGCCTGTCACACCGTCACAGTCAGCCCCATTGAAACAGGCACACAGCTGCTGGCAGCCCTCTCCGTAGAAGCCAGGACGGCAGGGTTCCTCGCAGTATAGGCCGCTCCAACCTGCCTTGCAGGTGCACTCCCCAGACAGAGGGTGGCAGCTGAGAGAGAAGAGAGAGAGAGAGAGACTTGTCAGTGTGGAACTGTGGGGTGTGCTGGAGAACTAATTAAAACAATACATCGTGGTGTCAACGGCCAGCAAGGCTGGGACCCTACTTCCTTTCAATTAATTCACCCGCAGTAGCCCTGCAGTTCATTCATCTGCGGTAACCTGGCCCCCCAGGGAAAAAAATCTATTATTTAAATGTGTGAAGAACGAAGGAGATTATTTTGCAAACAAAGGGCTGAGCAAATGGAAGAAAACTGCATCTCAGATAAGAGACATAAGCCTACAGAGATTTACATTCTGGATTGTGCTAAAGCTTTCAGGGATTTCAGATTCAGGTGACAGGATGAAATAATCAGAAAGCACAGCGTATTGCATCCGTTCAGATTTATTTATCATGGATAGTGCCGCCAATTTACGCAGCGCTTTACACATACCTCCCAACTTTGTGAGATGGGAAAGAGGGACAGATGATAGCATACAGAATGTGGGCAAAGGACATGCCTCCAGTAACGTGGACCTTGAGGGTTAATGTGGAAGAAGAGGGTTTAAAAAAAAAAAAGCCCCCGGAGGTGTTTGCCATAATGTGCTACTATTCACAGCATATTAGCACATTATTACCCACTTACCTTGTAAATGATCCCCTCCAGCACTATGCTGTCTGCTCTCTCCTCCGGTGCGGTCACCTCCGACACCAATGTTGCCATCTTCTCCCGGTCTTCTTCCAGGTTCCGCACCTTCCAGGTTCAGCATGCGCACAGTTACTTTATCTCAGCCTGCCAGGTCTGTGCATTGAGGTGTGCATGCGCAGCTCAGTGTGCAGAAAACAGAAAAACTGCTGACAGGTAGGTAGGTAGAAGAGACTGAGGCTAGGTTCACACCAGATGCAGTGCGTTCCGGCCCGATTCTGGCCAGAACGCACTGCACCGCATTGCGGCCGGCTCAATTTTTTTGTGGGGCGTGGCGGGCCATTGATGTGAATGGCACCGTGGCCACGCCCTCCGGCCGCAATGCAATTGGCCACACGCGATCGCAAGGCACATTGTGCCTGCGGTCTGGTCCGGTGCGATCAAAATGCTGCAAGCACTATGTACCTTGCGATCCCGTGCGGCCGATTGCATTGCGTCCGGAGGGCGTGGCTACGGTGCCATTCACTTCAATGGCCTGCCACGCCCCTTCCTGCCCCACAAAAAAGTGAGCCGGCCGCAATGCAATGCAGTGCGTTCTGGCCATAGTCAGGGCGGAACGCTCTGCATCTGGTGTGAACCTAGCCTTAGGGTTCTTTCAAAAGCTTGTTGAGAATTTAATGAAAGAGCAATGCTGATTAATGCGCCTATAGTGTTAACAAAACAAACGACAAACGCACTCAACAATTTGTTACCAGTTATACAGTAAGGTGCACACGAAATGGGCTTTGAACAGTAGAACAGTAGAAAGGCATCATGGCACACTCACAAACTAGCATGTAAAACAACTTGTCTCACCACTAAGGACAATGACAGAGGTTTGGATGCCTTTCTACTGTTATAGTGTTAACAAGGCACTCGTTAGGCCTTTTCAAGGCATTAAGGAGGCGTCAAAAACACTTGCAAAATGCCCTGCAAGTAGGGGATGTTAACGGGGAAGTAACGTAATAAAGGGATGTGACCAGCTTTGAGGTGTGCTTAGGCTGTGGTGAAATTTGCAGCCATATTGTTGGTTCTTGCCACACTTTATTTTTACCTACCAGCATGTCTTTGGAATGTGAGAGGAAACCCACACAAGCACAGGGAGAACATGCAAACTTCATACAGATGGTGTCCTGGCCCTAACATTGTTAAAGGAGAACTATGGGGTTAAGGCTTTTCCCCAAAGTTCTCCTTAGGGTAACGGGAGCACACAAACTAGCGTCCTCCCGTCGCCCTAGGCTCAGTATAGGTATACTGAGACGCCGCAGTATACCGCGAGCTGCTGCTCGCGCTATACTAAGACGCCGCAGCTGAAGCGGATCCTGACAATTATGCCGGGATCCGCCCAGCTGCGTGACTGACAGCTGGCTCTGCCTATCTAGAGGCAGAACCAGCTGTACCCGCCCCCTCCCCCATTCCGCGCTGGCGGATCGGGGAGGGGGGAATCCAGCCCCTCCCCTGTCATGGCAGAGAGCCGTGACAGGATCGAGAGGTGAGCGAACGCCGGTATGTGTTCGCTCACCTCCCGATCTACTGAGCCGACCTGTGACAGTCTCATTGTCACAGGTTGGCTAGAACTATGAGGTGAGTGAAAAGCACTCACCTCATAGTTCTCCTTTAGTTATGGGTAACCATTTTCTGATTATAACTTTATGTGCCAACCAAAAGCTTGACTCCAGGGATATTACATTATTCAATGATCTGACTCCAATAAACTGAAATCTGATTGGTTGATATGAGTTACCGCTCTTCTCACATCATTACTGCTCTTTATGCTGACTTATAGAAAAAAGGTGTTTAGTTGTCCTGGAAACAGTATTTTATTCCCTATGTAATGTATATTTTGGTTAGATACATTTGATGGCAGAGTGTATCGAATGGTACGCAAGTGTGGAGAATCTTCTTTCAGTTAAAGGAGCAGCGTAGGAAATCCTGTATGTACACTCAAGAGTCAACTGCTACATTATCTACTAATGTCAGGGCTTCTGAAATACCCATAGCTTAAAGCTCATTTTAAAACAGCTGACCCTGGCAGATCCAGAGAAAATCACACAACCCTCTCCAGCTGAAATGTACTTCCGCACATCATTCCACCATACTAAAATATGAAGAGCTTTCTAGAGACTATTTTCTAGGATTTTCAGCAACATACAGTGTCGCAATGGTGTCTAATATCAAATGGTTTCACTTTGTGTGTAATATCTGTACACTGATGAGTTATACTTCAGTGGCTAATTGTTTTAAAGACGTCTAGAAATGTAAAACACTAACCCTTGCACGGGGCTACTCCTGCACTGCAAGGGTTAAGTGCTCCTTTTGTCTAGAGGGCACAAATAAAGCAGATATACTCACCTGCTGCCTCTCTCTGGGCTGCTAGATCGGTCCCCACAGCCTCTCCTCCCCCTGGGCTCCGGAAGTCTAAGGACCGCTGACATCACATCTAATGCAATTCCATTGGGTCGCATTAGCCGTGAGGTCCTGGGAGACATTCCACAGTCAGAACAGAGGGGAGGGAGGTGAGTGCCCACCACTGCAGGACCGAGGATCCGGTGAGTATATCTGCTTTATTTGAGCCCCCTTAGACATAACGACCACTTAACCCTTGCAGTGCGAGTGGTATCCCCACTGCAAAGGAAAAAAAATAATTAATTCGACGAGTTCTTTTTTAAAACAGATATAAAAGACCGCAATTAATACAGTTCTGTATTCAGTATTACATAACTGAGGGAGGTAGAAACAGCACTAGGAGCCAATCAGGTGTGCTGCAGTGCAAAGGGGCATGCAGATAGGAGGAGAGAGTAGAGTGACAAAGAGATGACAGAAAGATGAGCTCATCAGTCTGCTGCTTCTCATTCCTTTGTCCAATCACAGGGCAGGGTTGGGTAGGAGACCTGTAAGTGTTACTGAGCAGCAGCAGATTTAGATCAGGCCTCTTGCCCTGCCTGTGTGGCAGAGCTGCGTAAAGGTCAGAGCTTGATGGAGAGAAAACCAAAACCGTTGGCAGGCATAAGAGCTCCCTTATACGGTATGCACATGATCTGTTTATTTAGCGGTTTGCCTAGAGTTTAACTTTAACGTTCCCATAAATGATCTAAGGAGTAACCACATACAGTGCATGGCCACAAGACCTCTTCTACCCTATAACAGCTGCATGCCCACATGACATTCTACAGACAAGAAAGCAGCGTATGCCTTGTCCTTTGCATCCATTATTCCTCTCCGTATTGTGCATTATGAGTCCCTGTCGGGCTTTTCGGGTCTACTAAGTATAAGATAATATCCCATGATTATAAACGATCAATCCAAGAGTTGAACAGAACATTTATGTGGTTTTCCATGAAACACGAGGAGGCCGTTCGGATTTGGCACCAGGGCTGTGTGGCTTTTAGATACGCCTCTCCTTCTAATGATTTGTGTAGGAAAATTCCTTTTTTCTCCTCTGTGTCCATCCACTTTACATCTCCATAGGCAGTCCCGGGTATTTGGGATAACATTTTTAATGTGTCTGTTTGATACTTGTGCCATGTGTTTAAGTTAACTGATGTGATCTGCTTAATTCAGATCCTGTGGGGCAACAGCATCGCTGTAATAACATGGTTCACGCTGCATATGTATGGGCAGCATTAAGGAAAACTAAAGTCATTTTAATATTTTGAAATAAATATATGAAAGAGATCATCTCATTGTAAATAATCTTTATGTATATTATGTAATTATCAATGTACTATATGAAAGTACTTTGAAAAGCAACAGACGGTCTCTACACTAATGATTGGCACGCTGATTAAAAGCCAGTGTCAAGGTTGTAAACGCATGTGATGAGCCCCATAGAAACCTTGGTCTCCCTGCCTCTCTTATCTCCATTTCAATCCTAATTCTTCTAATTATACAGAATACAAAGAAATTGTATAGACTGTTCTAAACAATATATAAGCACATTTACCAAATGCTGTTTCCTGCATTAATTACTGTGTAGGCAGATAGTGCTAGGCCCCCCTTTGGAGCTCCATAGACGTTGCATGGTCTGCCATGACTAGATATGTCTTTGACCAGTGAAAGACTTACTGCATCTGTAATTTAATTAAACCTGTATAAAAGTAAATATGTAAGCGGTCATTGCTGACTTCTGAAAGTGCCACTTACCTGACTGTCTATGGCTTTAAACCATTCTCATTCACTGACCTTGAACAAGTAACTCCTGCCCCACATACCGCATTGAAGTCACTGGCTCAATGTGACAGTCAGGCAGCTAACATTTTCAGCCATGGAAACCCTCATATTTCTCTCAGCATAGCTTTACTTAAACATCTATAACGCACAGTTCATACCTGCGAGTGTTGGTCAGGTTACAGGGACAGTTCTTGTTACACTTGAGACCGTACAGTCCATCTGCGCACACTCGCTCCTCACAAAGAATGCCTTTAAAGCCCGGCTCACATAAGCAGGCCCCATTAATGTGGTAACACTTGGCTCCGTTCTGACAGTCGCACCTTTCTGCACACTGGTAACCATATGTGCCTATAGGACATTCCTCCTGGCACCTGCAGAGAATAGAGTGAGAAGAGTTAATGACATGCGAACAGTGGCATATGACTTCATATGGAATTACTGTATCTCTTACAGAAGAACTCTGGGAATTTTAGAAACTTTCTCTTGCAGTGGGGCTACCCCACTCATTTTTCTCCAGTGCTCATTTTTCTCTAGGTCACGTGGCGGTCAGCACTAACCTCTCTCTCCCTCTGCTCCAGCTGTGGAATGTCTCTCTGCATCCTCAAGTCTAATGTAAGTCTATGGACCTGCATAAGATGTGATGACGCCAGTGGTCCTTAGACCGCCGCAGCCCAGGGAAGAAAAGGCTGTGGGGACTTGTCTAGCAGCGCGGAGGGGCCAAGGATCGGGTTTGTTTGAGCCCATTACACAAAGAAAGTGTGAAAGTTATTAAAATTCACAGATTTCTTCTTTAAACACAAAAAAATATCGTACAGCTTCAAAATAAATGCAACAATGTCATATAATGTAGATATAATAATGATTCTTTGTTGTTTTTTTTTAAGAAAACCTGGATGCATTAACCTGGATCCGTTCCTAAAAGCAGAGAATATTACTAGATCTTAAAAGAGAACTATGGGGTCAGTGCTTTTCCCCCATAGTTCTCCTAAGCTCGCGGTATACTGAGACCCCGCAGCCGGGACGGATCCGGGCAATACTGTCTGGATCCACCCAGCTGCGGGATTGACAGCTGGCTCTGCCTATTCAGAGGCAGAGCCAGCTGTGCTCGCCCCCTCCCCAGTCCGTTTTGCCAGTCAGCGCTGGAGGATCGGACAGGGGGGGGGGGAATCCCTGCAGGGAGCCGTGAGTGACAGTCACGGCTCTCTGCACGGATAGATCGTGAAGAGAGCGAGCGACGGTATGTGTTCGCTCACCTAGCTTCCACTGAGCCGACCTGTGACAGTTTCATTATAACAGGTCGGCTCAGATTATGAGGCTGAGTGAAAATCACTCGCCTCATAATTCTCCTTTAACATTTTATAAGTAAAAAAACATCAGAGATCGTTGATCCAGAGAATATCCGATTATGGGTTCAGGAAGAATTTCTGTTTTCCCTGTTAGAGCAAAACTCAGCCATGCTTTATATTTTTTGCCTTCCTCTGGATCATCTGTAGGTAATGTGGGCGCAGCATTCTCTTTTAGGAGGTTAGGGCCTCATTCGCACTGCGCTAACTCGGGGCGTACACGTCCATGCAGCATGCATGCCCGTATCGGGCTGTTCCTGGGAGGGACAGGTGCTGCATGTGATTGCACGCAGCAGCCTGTTCTTTCCTATGGGAGGACGCGGCCATACGCTGTCATACACACACCTGAACTGCACATCCGTACGGGTCAGGGTGTCCGTACTCGGTCGCAGACAGGATGGGGGTACACCCCGAGTTAGCGCAGTGTGAATGAGGCCTTATTTTTCTTCTCTCTATATGTTAAACTCGATGGACCTGTGTTGTTTTTTTTAACCTGACTAACTATGTAACTATATTGATCTCCAACTACAGAAGTCCTTGAATCACAGTCTGATCTTACAGAGATCTTTTCCTGGAATACCTCTTAAGGTGGCCATACACTTTACAACCATCGCAAGACCTTAGTCTTGCGATGGTTGTAAAGTGATTGAAAAAACTTACGATCTGCCCATCTTGGACAGGCAGATCGCACTCTCGATCATCGCAAGCCCGCCCCCTGAGGGGCGGGCTTCCGATGACCGCAATGCTGAATGGGCAGTGTGCGCGTGCGCACACCGGCCCGTTCGGCATTTGTCTCCTGTTGAAACCGGCCGAAAATCGTACGATTCTCTGCTGGTTTTCTAACATGCTCCTTAGGCAAAAGACGTGCGACCGTACATTAGAAACGGTCGCACGTCTTCGTTCACACTGTTCGATTCTCGTACGATCGCGGGATTTCCCGCGATTCTCGTACAAGAATCGAGCAGTGTATGGGCACCTTAAACCTGTGCCCAAACTAGCATTTCTTCCATGCTCTCAGCGATGAGAGAGAACATATAAAACACAATCAACAAGGCCTGAATAAGGTGCAGAAACATACTAAGGGGAGCATTGCTGGCTTTAGAGGTGATCAAATGTCCCACCAAAGGTTTTTAATGTCACTGTTAGAATTTGCAAAAAAGACCCATAGGAGGACCTGTTTCATAAACCCATTGAAGTAGTATTAAACTGCAGGGCTACCCCCACACTGCAATGTTAACTGTTCGTTTTGGTCTAGGGAGGAAAATACAAAAGTTATGCTCACCCGATCCTCTGAGCTGGCTTGCTCTTATATTGATGCCTGGTGACTCACTCTCCCTCCGCTGTAGCAGTCTTGAGTCATCACGTTCTATACACCATATATAGAACGTGAGGATGCCGAGGGTCATATAATCACTGGAGCAGAGGAGGAGACAGGCAGGGGGGAGAGCAGTCACAGCCAGCAAGCTCGGAGGATCGGGTGAGTATAAATTTGTTATTTTCCTCCCTGGACAAAAACAAGCAGCTAACTCTTGCAACCCTGCCCCACTGCAAGGGTTAATAAAAGTCTGCCTAGCGTTCTTCTTTAAGTAAAGAAATCTAAAGTAACAAGGCAAACTTTTTTTCCTAATAACCAACCAGATTCCTTTTGTCCTAAAAGCTGACTGGTTCCTATGAGTATCAGTCCTAAAAGCTGATGGGAAGAGAAACATTTAACTGTTGAAGACGGGGCAACCATCAGATTTTGCATCAAATCAGGCAGAACATCTGCCCATGTATGCCTGCCTACCAATACAGTTCACCATGAACTTCTGAGATCACCTCCTAGAGAACCAATCAGCTGTATTTTCATGTGCATGGCTTCCATTTACCCCACTTTAATGGGGTCATTATTTATGCAGCTTCTCCCTAAATTCTTTCTACATACAGCAAGCTGCAGGAAGACCATCTCTTGTGTTTAAGAGACATTACGTGAGTATGACTATTTCTCTATTTTTTAGATTAGTCCTTATATAAAGTCATGTACACCTAGCTCCGGGGTCCTGCACCAGCACTCTATAAACAGAACTTTCTGTGCGTCTGAGCTATTGATGAGGGCTCTGCGTGAAGAGTATGAGATGCTGAGCCTCCTCACCTCCCTGCGTGCTCCGTGCCTAGCACACGAGCCCCGCTCATTCTGCCTGCACAGGGAGTATAACCAGCACAGCTCACACCTGCTGAGAACTGGCACAGATACACACAAATGGCTGCCTCTGACACTGCCAGCAACAATAAGGCTACTTTAGGGAAACCAGAGAGATGTGATGCATTAACTCTTTCACCCACGGTGTAGTAACCAACAGCACCTGGCCAGAAATGTATCTCACGATTACACTGCAGGTGGAGAGATCTGGTTTTTATACATTACTGCAGTTTGTGTGCGCATATCTAAAATGTATAGGGGGGACAAGATTTCTACACGGCCAGATGTCTCTTTGTTAGTAACAAAAATACAATATGCTAAAAAGTTAGCACTTCTGCCTTGCAGCACTGGGGGTGGTTCAAATCCCGGTCAGGACACTATCTGCAAGGAGTTTGCATTTTCTCCCTGTGCTTGCGTGGGTTTCCTCCGGGTACTCCGGTTTCCTCCAACACTCCAAAGAGGTGCTGGTAGGTTAATTTGGCCCATGTCTAAATCAGCCTTTTATGTATGTATGTATGTATGTGAGATAGGGATCTTAGATTGTAAGCTCCTTGAGGGCAGAGACTGAATGTGCAACTATGTAAATTGTTGGAGCTATCTAAATATCAATAATAAATGTACACATATCTATGAAAATGTTCTATTTAACTACCAAAAGTGTCATTCTGCACTAAAACCTTCATCTTATCTCTTAAATATTGTGTTTGCTATTTTAAAAAGCCAGCATAAAGGAAAGGTAATTGTGATAGCAATTCTGGGTTTAAAGGAGAACTATGAGGTGAGTGCTTTTCACTCACCTCATAGTTCTAGCCGACCTGTGACAATGAGACTGTCACAGGTCGGCTCAGTAGATCGGGAGGTGAGCGAACACATACCGGCGTTTGCTCACCTCTCGATCCTGTCATGGCTCTCTGCCGTGACAGGGGAGGGGCTGGATTCCCCCCTCCGATCCTCTAGCGCTGACTGGCGGAACGGACGGGGGAGGGGCGGGTACAGCTGGCTCTGCCTCTAGATAGGCAGAGCCAGCTGTCAGTCACGCAGCTGGGCGGATCCCGGCACAATTGTCGGGATCCGCTTCAGCTGCGGCGTCTCAGTATACCGCGAGCTACAGCTTGCAGTATACTGAGCCTAGGGTGACGGGAGGACGCTAGTTTGTGTCCTCCCGTTACCCTAAGGAGAACTATGGGGAAAAGACTTAACCCCATAGTTCTCCTTTAACTAATAATTTTTGGCATATAAATTCTTAAAGGTTGGCATAACTGGAGGTGTGTCTATTGTCTATATTTAACTGGGCATTTGACAGAGGTGTGCCCACTGCCTATATATATAACTGGTGGTGTGGCAGGGGTGTGTCCATTGCCTATCTATAACTGGGGACATGGCAGGGGTGTGTCCATTGCCTATATATAACTGGGGTGTGACAGGGGTGTGTCCATTGCCTATATATAACTGGAGTGTGACAGGGGTCTGTCCATTGCCTAAGATTTCCCTCTTTCTCATCTCAGAAGTTTGGGAGGTACCATACACTGTTCGAATTTCGGCCACATTGGCAAGTTTCCAGCAGTGTGTAGCCTTGTTGGCACTCCTACTTTTGACAAAAGTAATTTTTTTAACGACTTTTGTTGATGGAGTCAGGCTGAAAATTCTCAGCCGAAAAGTGACTGCAACCAATCAGCTCCAGTCACTTTTCGGCCATTCTGACCGTGGCGCACCTGCTGGGAAATTCCCCCATGCACACTAAACAGCGGGGGAAAAAACACGTAGGGGTTCATGTATAAAGGCTTCACCCAGCATTTAGCAGGATGGACACGATTCACACAGCATTAAAGTTGCTAAATGGAGCCAAGGA